ATTTTGTTTCATTTCTTATTATTAGCTATTAATTTAATTATAGCAATGCATAAACAACTTTTTATTATATATTTTGAATTGTTAAAAATTAATTAAAAAAAAAAAATTATTAAAAAATATTTCTACACTATTTAAGTCTTTTATAACGATAGTTAGGACAACATATGTAGCTTCTCTATCAAGTCAGATGAAATAGGTCATCAAAATAAAATGAGTAAATGGCCTATCAAGTACTTGCTCAATTTATTTGAATCAAAGGTGATAAAAGCATCGAGTATTCTTAAATAATGTACCCTATGTATCGATATCGAAGTATTGATTTATTCAAGTACATATAGCGGTTTACAATTTTAACGGATATAATTAATGATGAGCTGCTTTCCTCATCTGTACTAGGATATTTCCAAGTTCCTCTCGCTTCCTCTTGGCACGGATGTGTGTACCCAACTAGAAAATAAAAATATATATTATTAAAAAAAAAATAGTTTAAGACTCTAAAAAGCTCCCTAAAAAAAGTTTTGATATTTTTAATAAGAAAGTATCCATGTCTGCAATACTGACTCTTCCCTTGCAGCACATTTACAAAAATCTAATATGGACCAATTTAATACTAAAAGACAGTAATCAATTACTAATTTGAAGTACTAAAAGTATTGAACAATGAAGTTTTCAATACTTAAAATAAGAAATTAATTACTATCTTTCAGTTATTGGCCAGTGTTAGATTTTTGTATAAAAGCAGGAGAGGATATTAAACATTTTGAAATTGTTAGGATCTTTTAAGCTTCCTATCCACAGTGATAGAAACTATTTTAAGTTCTTGGACAAAAGAATTAACAAGTCACATTTGAACAATTGAGCAATTTGATCAATTGTTCAAATGTGATTTCTTTCTAAAATACAACCGAGATCTCAGAGTGATTTTGAACATCATGGACACAAGATTCTTAGCTTTAAATTCTTTAGCATATTTTTTTATTTAGCTATCGATATTCCATTAATCCATAAATCAGAACTCGGAACATTATGAAATTATATGACATTATTATAGTTCTGCCGAAACCTGTTGTCTAAAATTTGCGAGAAAAGATATTTACTCTTCTCTTCAAGAATTTTAAGGCGCGTTTATCCTTTGACACCTTCAGCAATTCCATAGCACGTTTTTCATAAGGGGCATGGCCTGTGACTTCTCGGATCAGATCCCTTACAAACTTGCTGTGCTTGGTTTGTCTCTGCAATGAGAAATTGAGGATAAATATTAACACGTGAATAATAACATAAGAAAGAGAAGATAAATAAGCTTCTGGTAATAAATTATGGTGCATCAACTCTTTGATCAATAAGCCATATATACAATAACAATGGCCAAGATCAAGAGAATGTTCGTAACTATTAAAAGTTTTCTTAGTGTTGGTTGGATTATACTTTTAGAGAAATAGTCAGCGAAGAAAACTTGCAACAGTTGCAAAATAAACATTTTACTGAACGCGGTAAATGAGAGAATTGTGTTATACACTTTCCACTTACTCCTTTTATCCTGGATGGTCGTACGCAGACGGTCTTGGTCCTTTCCTTCGCGGGTATATTTTTTATTTTAGACACGCGAATCTTCGTCGTTTTATGGCCCTTATTGAGGCCGACAGCCAACTCGTATCTCGGAGCCATCCTGTGGACAAAGATCAATTTTTTTTAGGTTATCTCACAGGCAACACTTATTCATTGCAAATATGCGCGAGTCATATCTCGATATAGCGAATTATAAATTCAACTTGGATGCCAGAGCGAAGAAATCGCTCAAATTTCTTTGATCAGAAACGGATTACAATAATATTTCACGATTCGAAATCTTGCTAAACCATGCTAACCTTAGCAACGAACGTCCACGCGTCGAAAAAGAGCTTCCAAACAATCCAAACTTCCAAGCAGTGGTGCACATTTGGCTCCCCGGCAACACGGAAAACCACCCCACCACTTTGCCGCTGCGCGAGAG